GAGTGTAATGTAGAGTATATAACAGTAATGTGGAGATTTATACCTGGAACTGAGCGTAATGTAGAGTATATAACAGTAATGTGGAGATTTATACCTGGAACTGAGTAGAGTAAGTAGCATATATAAATACTGGAAAACAATATTAACACTTTTATAGCAAATAATTTTAATTTATGTATATTTGTATATTACTAAAATAATTTAGTAGAGAATACAGAAAAGCAAGTGTTAAAGTTCTGGTATTTGTTCTATTAGTTTGATCAGCATTTATAAATATGAAGTTCTCTGCCATGTTCTCTACAGTGTTCAAAAGGAAAAATCAAAAGTCTCCAGCAGGCATAATTTGGATTCCATATTTAAGGTATGTGTTTATCTAATGTGAGTATGTGTCTCAAAATCATTGTTTACCTTATCGTCCAGTTTATTGGATTTCCTTTTTACTGTTTATTGCTAATCAGGATTTGGAGCACAAAATAATCTCTCTGGTGAAGAAAGAGCTGAAGAGGTTCAAGAAGCTGCTGAGTGCAGATTACCCAGCATGCTCTGAGAGAGAGGTGGAGGATGAGGAGGATCAGAGCAGTTCCAGAGAGGGGGTGCTGAAGATCACACTGAACATGCTGAGGAACATGGAGCAGATAGACCTCGCTAACACACTACAGAGCAGTAAGAGCTGTGGAAATATTCTCATTGATTCTATTGTGAGTTTATCTGTTACTGAACTATGATCTGTAGATTTAACCGAGAGGCATAGAAGTGTGTGCCAGCACATGATCGGCACATGGTGTCTGTGAGGATGTATGTGTGTATATGTTGTGTCTGAGAGTGCAGGCATGGCAGGGAATCATTTGGTAAAAGCAAGTGCATTGCAATAGCTTTAGCAGAGTCAACGTGAATAATACAGGATAATTTACATATAATTTCAAAGTTACTTATCTTGGTATTGAGTAAGACATTCCTGCTTTGCTGGCTATCAAAGTTTTAGCACTCAACTTGGATCCAAGAGGGCAGACAATCAACAAAAAAAATGAATGCCCTATATAAATTATTTCTTTTTTTTTTGTAATGAGACAAAATAAACCACCATCTGATTTATTGTCAGAGTAAATTACTATCAAATCTACTGTCACCATCAAATTTATTCTCCATTTATTTTCTCATATGTACTCTAGTCTAGGGGTGTCTTCTTGAATTTAGATCCAACGCACTTGGCTGTAAAATTCAGATGCCCCTGAAGGCCTTCATCACCTGGATCAGGTGCTATATATTAAAGTTGGAGCTAAACTTTGCAAGGTGGTAGATCAACAGGGCCAGAAAATGGCAACCCCTGCTCTACTCTAAATTTAGAAAAAAAATATTGATACCTGAACTAACAGCTTTTTGTTCCTAGTCTTTACATGCAAAAAATAAAAAATAAAATAAGGAGGCACTGCCCAGATTCATAGAGTTATCAAAATGCTGTGTGTAATTACCTATCAAATGATGACATATCTGAATAACCTAGAGTCTTTGGCAAAACACTTCTGACTCATCACTTATGTCTCATGTAATCACTTTTTTATTGTAATTTTAATTGTAATTTAACAAATATAAAATAATACAAAATTACCTTAGTATGGTAATGTTATTTCTAAAAATATTACATTAATATACTCAGATCAAAATAAGGGCAATAAAAAGCCTTCCATGTTAAAATGGTCCACTCTGTCTGTATAAATTCCTCCTATTTCAGTTTTCCAAATGTGTGATTGAACTGGTAGGGAAGAAGGCAAAGACAAAAAAGCAGCGTACTGAGTTTATACAAATAACATTGGATTTCATCATGTACTTAAACATACTGTAAAATATTTATCATCCTGTTGTTTTGTTTTTTATTAGAGCTGATCCCTGCACATCAGAAAAAAATACAAATGAACCTGATGGAGAAATATATGAGAATTAATGAAGGCATCTCACATCATGGAGGATCAACCCTTCTGAATGAGATCTACACAGAGCTCTACATCACAGAGGGAGGGAGTGGAGAGGTCAATGATGAACATGAGGTCAGACAGATTGAGGCAGCATCCAGGAGACCAGCAACACAGGAGAAACCCATCAAATGCAATGACCTCTTTAAAGACAGACCCATCAGAACTGTGCTGACTAAAGGAGTTGCTGGAATTGGAAAAACAGTCTCTGTGCAGAAGTTCATTCTGGACTGGGCTGAAGGAAAAGCAAACCAGGACATCCACTTCATATTTCCACTTCCTTTTAGGGAGCTGAACTTGATGAAGGAGAAAAACTTCAGTCTGATTAAACTTCTGAATTGCTTTTTCCCAGACAGAAAATCATTACAATCAATAGACTTTGTTTCTTACAAAGTCATGTTTATATTTGATGGTTTGGAAGAGTGTCGACTTCCTCTAGATTTCCAGAACAATGAGAGCTTTTGGGATGTAACACATTCAGCCTCAGTGGATGTGCTGCTGACAAACCTCATCAAGGGGAATCTGCTTCCCTCTGCTCTCCTCTGGATAACCTCTCGACCAGTAGCAGCCAACCAGATCCCTCCTGAGTGTGTTGACCTGGTAACAGAGATACGAGGGTTCAGTGACCCTCAGAAAGAGGAGTACTTCAGGAGGAGAATCAGTGACCAGAGCCTGGCCAATAAAATCACCTCCCACATGAAGTCCTCAAGAAGCCTCTACATCATGTGCCACATCCCAGTCTTCTGCTGGATTGCAGCCACTGTTCTAGAGAGAGTGTTGGGTGGAGCAGAGAGTGGAGAGATCCCCAAGACTCTGACTCAAATGTTCTCACACTTCCTGATCTTTCAGATCAAACTCAAGGACCAAAAGTACCATGGAAAATGTGACTCTGATCCTCAGCAGACTAGAGAGATGATTCTGGCACTGGGAAAACTGGCTTTTCAACAGCTGGAGAAAGGTAATCTGATCTTCTATGAGGAAGACCTGAGAGAGTGTGGCATTGATGTCAGAGAAGTGTCAGTGTACTCAGGAGTTTGTACCCAGATCTTCAGAGAGGAGTTTGGGCTGCACCTGGGGAAGGTGTTCTGCTTTGTGCATCTGAGCATTCAAGAGTTTCTGGCTGCTTTATATGCATTTCTCTCCTTTATCAGCAGAGATGGAACAAATCAGCTGACCACTGATCTCTCTGATATTTTTAGAAAGCCCAAAATGTCAGACTTCCTCAGGTCTGCAGTGGACAAAGCCTTACAGAGTGAGAATGGACACCTGGATCTTTTCCTCCGCTTCCTTCTGGGCCTCTCACTGGAGTCCAATCAGACTCTCTTACGAGGTCTACTGACACTGACAGGAAGCAGCTCTCACAGCACAGAGGAAACAGCCCAGTACATCAAGGAGAAGATCGGGGAGAATCCCTCTCCAGAGAAATCCATCAATCTGTTCCACTGTCTGAATGAACTGAATAGTAATTTTCTAGTGCAGGAACTCCAGAAATACCTGAACAGAAGAGATTATTTTAGTCTCCGAGGACTCTCTCTCTCTCCTGCCCAGTGGTCGGCTCTGGTGTTTGTGTTGCTGAACTCAGAAAAAGAGCTTGATGTGTTTGACCTACGTAAATATGGCAGATCAGAGGAATATCTTCTGCGGTTGCTGTCAGTGGTCAAAGCATCAAGAAAAGCTGTGTGAGTATTTTTTGTCATAAATGTGGCACTACACTGTTTAGTTTTAATTAACGTTGATTTATACTACATGGATGATAAGGCCTACCGGTCTGCTGGCACGTTTGTCATGATATAAGCGGGTATTTCCTTTTTAATAAAAAAAAAGCCTCAGTATTAAATTTTAGGTCTTTTTGACACTCCAATGAACAAATACTTCATGAAAGTTCTGTAACACAAGATTATGGCATTTATGGCACTACAATTTTGACAATACAGTCTCCCATGAAATTGATAGCATGTGATTTCCATTCTCTCACCAACATCTCACCTTCCAAATAATACCCTGATGGAAACACCTTAACAACATAACATCAGCAGGGAAAAGTCTAGCAAACATTTCACTCTGTTAAGTCCATATGCTGCTCCTTTCACTGCATGAAATAGATAGTGAAGAGAGAATTTCCAGTGCTTTATTTTCTGGCTTCCCAAATGAAGATAAAAACACAGATGCAGACAGTACAAGCCATAAATAGCTCAGGAGAAACCTGTATACTCTATTACACAAAATCAACATGATTAAGTGGAATTAAAGGCATCACCAAAGATGGAGAACCATCTTATCAAGGGTTCCAACTCACTCATTGTGGGCGCAGGTGCTGCCACTGCCAAACTAACAGGTTTCACAGGGCTTGTTTAATTCTTCAGTTCTAAAAGTGGAATCCTCACTTTTTACTTTTTAAACAGGATACTCATTTTTCCAGTGACCATCTTTCTTTAAGCAAACTGTGCATCAGCTGCCCCCCTCCAGAGCTGATGATCAGCCCAACTCAGTAGAAGCAGTTTATTTCTTAGTAAACTTGTTTGTTAGTATAGTAGAATATAGTATAGTATGTTTGTTAGTATTATTTAGTATACTTGTTTTAGTTAAAACACATTTATCTTTTAAAAATGAAAGCATCATCAAACATCTCAAAGCTTTTTGTTTTCTTTTTGGGGCATCAAGAACCTAACCCATTGAGCCACAACTTTACACTGACCTCAGCTGCAAAGAGCTAAAGGGTTTGAGACAGCTAATTAGGACCAAAATAATCTGGCTAAACCTCAAGAATAACTAGACTGAAATTCCTTATTTTAAAACTGAAGTCAAGATTTTCTCTGTCATTCCTTTGTGGGAGAGCAAGGCAGAGCTGGCTAATGTCTTAGTTCTCAGATGTAATCTGAATAAGCTGTTTGATGCCAGAAGTCATAATAAACTCAACAGAAATGTAACTGTGAGCAAAATACAACTTTTAGGGGTACAAATATAGCTTCTCCTACAACCTAATTAATCAACCAAAACTACCTAAACTCACCCTTAGCCTTTGTAATCCTTCCAAGAGCTGAGCCTCTTTAAACGTCCATATGCCAGCAGGATGGAATTCTCCCAGATACAACTGTTTGATCCAACCATCACAGCAGTGACCTAACCAAAGGACTAGCAACCAGACAGTAACCCACCACTAAGTTTTAGAGGTTAAATGAAGTAAAAAGGGGTATATTCTATTTTCTCTTGTGGGGCAGATTACATACTGATTGAAGTTTGTCAGAGTGGAGGATGGAAAAACAGCAAAGGAGGGATGTATTCACTTATCACGATAATGTGTATGAATTCCTGCTAATGGCAAACAGTTCAGTGTCCTTTCAGCAGATTTGCTCCTTAATAGTGATGGGTTTAGAGTTATGCCATCTATCATTCACAAATACTGCCAGCTCTTTCACTCTCCAATGTCCTGTCTGCCCATATGAGCTGGAAGCCATCCAAAGTGATGACTGTGTGCAGAGTTAGCATAGTTAGCCATGACTCTGTGAACAGCATAATGTTACACTCATGGTACTCCCTCTGATATCGGGTCAGCACTGTCAGCTTGTCCATCTTACTGGTAAGAGATCTTACATTTCCCCAGACGACTGAGGGAAGAACAACTCTATAACATCTCCTCCTTGTACAAAAAAAGTAGAGTGAGGACCAGGGCAAACTCTACAATTTTGGTGACCATAGTGCAAAAACCCTTGGCAAACAATCAAAAATCTAAATACTTAAAAAAGAAAAGGTGCAAAGTACAGAAAGTAAAAAACTCAGTAATTCATACATCAGATCACTAATCAGACTCTGTCCTCAACATCTAGAGTGATTTCATCCACCTATGACTATCCATCAGTTGACCGTTGACCATCAGGACTTACCCTGTGTGTCCAAAGTGATTCTGTGGAGATTTGAGCAAGTAATCCAGTCAGTAATCCAGTTCAGAAAACCACTGTTCAGATCCTGCATTTCTCAATTTAAATCTCCACAGCAATGTGTTTCCCTCATGTCTGAAACAGTCCTCTGATTCACTCAGAGTTTAGTGCTGAGAATCAAAAAAACTTACAGCTAAATACATGTAAAAATTACTCAGAATGCAGTCACACTTATAAAACTAAAGGTTAGCCATGTGGTGTGTACATGCTGCTAAGGTGAGAGAGTGGGGGTGTGGTGGGGAAGGCAGAAAAACAAGAAAATGTAGTGTCCCATTCACTACACTGAGTGCACCTTCCCCTTTTCCCTCAAAATTACAGAAACAGGCTAAAATACATTTTAACATATAAATAACAGTAAATATGATTATAAAATTAATAATATTTAGCTCTGTCTTTCAGTTTACTTTGATTTTGTGTATCAGAGTTTTAGCACTGAGCATGAATCCAAGAAGATGGAAAATCTATAAAAACATGATCACATTATGCTAATTGTTTAATTTTACTCATAATAACCATTAGAATGAATCACCAGCAAAATGCTTGCACTTAAGATCACAGACACTCCAAAATAACAATTTCTGAAAGGTATCTGAGGTGCCACATGTTTTCACGATCTCAATAAGCAAAAAATTATAAATATGTGCAGATGCTAGGTAAACTTTTGATAAAGATTAGCCAATTTCAAGATATCAATTTTCTATTGGCATTTACATGTCAAATAATGACATTTCTGAATAGCCCATACTTTCATATTGCCCTATAGTGTTCTGATGTATCATCATTTCTCTTCCAGTCTTTTTGACTGTAGCCTCACAGAGAAAAGCTGTGCAGCTCTGTCCTCAGTTCTCAGTGCAAACTCCTCATGTCTGAGAGAACTGGACCTGAGTAACAACAAACTGCAGGATTCAGGAGTGGAGCTGATCTTAGCTGGGCTGGAGAATCCACACTGTAAACTGGAAATACTGGAGTAAGATCATCATTTTATCACTGTGGATGATGGTCACACAGAAGCACATTTTCACCAAATCTTTCTTTCTCTCTCTCTCTATCCTTCACACACACACACACACACACACACACAGACACACACACACACACACACACACACATAAATGTTTACTCATTGTCTTTGTCTCACATTTCATCGTACACTCAAAAGTCAAGTTGTAAAATGGTTTAATATTTAAAACTTTGTCCTTTATACAGTCCTGTGTTTGTGGGGGGTGAGGGTGTTGAAGTTCTGAGGTATCATTATTTCTCTTACAGACTGTGTAGGTGTAATCTCACAGAGAAAAGCTGTGCAGCTCTTTCCTCAGCTCTCAGCTCAAACTCAAGTCTGAGAAAACTGGACCTGAGTAACAACAAACTGCAGGATTCAGGAGTGGAGCTTCTCTCTGCTGGACTGAAGAATCCACACTGTAAACTGGAGATACTGAAGTAAGACATCACTTTGTGTGTGTGTGTGTGTGTGTGTGTGTGTGTGTGTGTATTTTAGTTCTGGTTTGTTAGGTATTCACACTGACATGTTTAACATCGAACCAGAAGATGTAAACAAGTTATGCAGGTAAAAATCACAACTGATTGGGCAGTTTTTTCTGATGAACAATAACTGTGATTATGTCCACAAAATTTTCTAAATCATGCTGTTCTCTGTTCTATCTGGTCCTGTTGCATGTATTTATGTATTGTTTTATTTATCTAATGATACTGTACTGCAATAAACCACACAAGACCCTGGATTACAGTGGTTTTGCACAACGTGAAGCAGGGTGAAATCTCTAACACCCAGCCCTGAGGGGCTTACTGCTTTTACAAAATGGAGAGATCTTGGCACAGTTTTACATTTACAATTGATATAATTGATGTGTGCAGTCAAATATGTTTCATAAGGTTTCATGACTTTAAACATGCCCAAGCCCTGTTAAACTGTTCTATAATTACTGAGCTTATGAAGAGATGATATGACACATGTATGCACAAAAGAGCATCAGAAATTCTATGTACAAAAATGTTATGCGGAGAGTAAATGGTGGTTCCTGTCTTGTGTTCATACATTGTGAATCACATCAGAGTTTGTTTGAAAGCATACAAAAACTGCTCAGGAGGTCTCGGTCCACTTATTTGGTCCATACCAGGATTCACATGGCAGTGTTCTTGCTTGTTCTAACAAAACACACTAACAGAGCAGTTGCACCAGGATTAATTTTAATCAAACCAAAAACTGCCAAATCTGAATGCACCCTAAGTGTGTGGAGGTTTCTGTTTCTCTCTGCAGATTGGAATGCTGCAGAATTTCAAAGAAGGGATATGCTGCTCTGGCTTCAGCGCTTAAATCAAACCCCTCTCACCTGAGAGAGCTGAACTTAAACTCTAATAAACCAGGACAGTCAGGAATGAGTGTTCTCGTTAGTCTACTGGAGGATCCACGTTGTAAATTAGAAAAACTAAAGTGAGTGTCTGACAATTTATACACAAACACACACACACACACAGTTGCAAATGTGACTACAGCAACATTTTTAGGATATAATGCTTTCTAAATGGCCACTCTAAGCTGTCACCAGTTGCCACCTAGCTTACTTGATAAACTTTACTTACTGAATATATAGATCCACCAGTTAATTGTGTGCCATTTTCTTATTATACAAGTCTTCAGCTGCACAACAGTAAAGGGCTTTCATTTTCATGTTTTGTCCTTTTTCAATGGAAGATCAGCAATACTGGTGAAAAACATTCAAAATGTGGGTTCTTATGTTGAAATAAGTATAGATATCTTTTCAATCTTATGCTGGTAAAAACCTGAATGAACAGTGTTCACTGACAATCATTTGGCAAATAATTCCTGAGCCAATGTGGTGATATCCATCACAGAGGTATGATTTGAACAATTCACAATGTTCCTAGTCTTAAGTTACCCTGTCTCAATTATTTTTGGGATAATCAGGATGGGGCAAATTAAAAAAAATAACAAATTTGATTTTATGAAACTGAAGCATGAAAAATCTTGTCTTTGTTTTGGCTTTGTTCACAAAGGAGTGTTTTTTTGTTTCATCCTTTTTTGTGCCTATTTCAATTGTTCGGAAACTGAGGTTTGTATTTAGATCTGTGTGTGGGGGGGCAGTGATCTCAGTGTTTTGATGTATCATCATTTCTCTCCCAGCATGTGTAACTGTAATCTCACAGAGAAAAGATGTGCAGCTCTGTTATCAGTTCTCAGCTTCTCAGGTTTGAGAGAACTGAACCTGAGTAACAATAAACTGCTGCAGGATTCAGGGGTGAAGCTGCTTTCAGCTGGACTGCAGAATCCACACTGTAAACTGGAGACACTGAAGTAAGATCATCACATTTTCATTGTCGAAGCACATACATTGGAGAGCAATCATAAATCTCACTGTTTATGTATGTGATCATACACACGTGAACATTTTGCCTCATTAGTGATCATGAATTTGAAATATTGAATATTGATTGTTTGCCTGTGCTTGCAGATAAAAATCCCAGTTTATGAAAAATGATAAATTTCTACAACAACTGCTAACAACTTGCTAATATTTTATATTGTATCCTGTAGGTCTTTATCCATATATGTCAAAGTCAGTAATTTTATTAGCATGATAATATTAAGTTTAGAATAGTTTTGTCCTGAAAAAGAAGATTAATTACCTAACAAAAATAACAGCTATATGTTGCATTCTGCCATTTTTGACTTTTGCACTCTCAGACCAGGACACAACATTTTTGCCGTAGAAAAGTCATATTGACACATCATGTCAAGTTGTTGAGAAATCATGTCTATGATATGAGACAATTTCTCAACAACAAAAATTTTGTTACCACTTTATTTGGTCTTTAACAATAAATTAACTATACACTATCAATCAACTTATTGTCAAAGATGGACAGTTCAATTAAAGTGATACTATATATTTTGTTTGTCCATAGCAATATATTATAAAGGCGTTTATTAAATGAAAAGTGCCATGGTTTTACATTTTTTTCTCTAGAGTTTGAACCCCTGGCCAGAGAGCAGCTTCAATATTAAATGTTTATTACCCTACCAGCAGCACTCTCTGTTGTTTATTTATTTATTTATTTTTTTGTAATTTTGTTGGACATGGTACCATAATTTGTTGAGTTTGTCCAGATATATTCCTTCCCTGCCATTAATACCTTTATTTTCTCATTATTAAATTTGCAAGGGGCTTATTAGCAGCAGGAAAATAGGGCATCTCTGGCTTCTTCCTCTTTATAGCTTAAATGACTGTCACAGACATTCATCCTTGTGGGGACAGAATATAAAAAATATATGCATTTTGATAATTTTGGATTCAATATTTTCAATTGGAATCAATATTTTTACAAGGCTTTAAAAAGGAAAGGCCAAGACACAGTGAAGAAAGGGTTTTTTAGTATACACACTGCAGGTTTAGACTTGGCATGTGACATTATCATGTTATTAAGCTGTGGACATATGCTATCTGGTAGATGTGAGCTGGAGATGAAATCCGTTTCTTCTGAATGTATAAGAATAGGTTTGACTGACTTAATTCAGCTGGCTAAAATACAGGTCAATATCTTTCAACCTGCCATTCTATATTCTTACATTTCATAGAATCTTTTCAATCAGGTGTTGTCTCTTCCCATGACTTTAGCATTTCTTTACTTGGTAGTACCTAAGTACCTAAATAAGCATCTTTTAAATGCAGAGTATAAACAAATGGCAGGGCTCTGATAAATTATATTTTTTCACCCAGGCTACGTGGTTGTAATATCACAGAGAACAGTTGTGCAGCTCTGTCATCAGCTCTCAGCTCTTCAAATCTAAGAGAACTCGACCTGAATAACAATGAACTGCTGGATTCAGGAGTGAAGCTGCTGTGTGCTGGACTGAAGAATCCACACTGTAAACTGGAAATACTGGGGTAAGACTCACTTATCCCTGCATGTGTATGTGTGTGTATTGAAATGTAAGTGTGAATCTGTAAGGTGTTTTCTCCTTTTCTTTGCAGGCTGTGTAAATGTAAAATTACAGTTGAGGGCTGTACTGCTCTGGCTTCAGCTCTAAAATCAAACCCCTCCTCCCACCTGAGAAAATTTAATCTAAACTGTAATAATCCAGGAGAGTCAGGAGTGAAGCTGCTCTCTGACCTACTGAAGGATCCACACTGTAAACTGGATGAATTAGAGTGAGTTGCTGACTTGCTGTATCTACACAAACACACACACACACACACACACACACACACACATGCATACTCACACATACACACATCACTCACACACAAACACACACATGCACACGGAGATAGAGAGGAAGAGAGAGATGTTTTCATGTAATATCTAGAGGTGAATATGATTGAATACACATGCCTAGAACAGCTTTTGTCTGGGAATGTTCAGTGAATCCTGTTCTGTTACAACTGTTTGTGAAATGTATTCCACTTCTTTTGTTCTTGTGTGGAGTCTGATGTCTGACTGTGACAAGAATGCGTTCATGTCTGATGATTCTCTCATCTTCTGTCTTACAGCATCTGAACACCATCCAGCTGATCTGCTCTCACACACAGAGGGTTGGAAAGGATGAAGTCTTAGTACAAACACACAGTATACAGTTCGACATGGGTGTCTGATTTTGCATCAAAGTGAAGGAGCAACTGTGAGAGGGTCAAAGTGAAAAGGGTACAAATTTATTAATTAAATGCAACATTATTAAGACAAAATGATTTTTAAAGTTAGAGACAGAATTACTAGTTGCATATTTTACTATACCACATCACTGCATGCCATCTAAAATTAGAAACTGTCAATTTCAAGCATTCCAAAATGAAAATGTCATATTCAAAGAAAACTTTGCTTTTTAAGGTGTATCCTAGACAGGGTCATCGGAACCACAGTGGAGAGCGGGCATTCGCCCCTACCACTTTTCAAAGAACTGTGCCGATGCCCCACTACTTTTTGAGTTCAGTTTGTGCATGAAAAAAAATGAAGCGCTGATCAGCATGAACAGGCAGGGTAAACCTGAGTGGCAGAGCCAATCAGAATCTCCATTTCAGCTGGGAGTTGCTTTCAGACCCCCAATAATATCTGTTTGCAGAGCTGCAGAGCCACAGTTTTATGCCAGTAGCTTCACTCCAGCAGGTTCAAAGCCAATGGCATTTAGTGCATGCGCCCACGCTTGTTTTTATTTTTAATTAGGCTAATCAATATTTCAGTTGTTTTGTGTGGGTTTCCAATAAATTTGTGATGCATTTGTGTTGGGCTAATGTTGTATTTTAAGTTTCAGGCTAAAACAGACTTTGGTTTGAATGCATATAAAGATAAGGTACAAGGTAAATATTGCCCAAACTGCAACTTATTTAGACTGGGTAAGCTAATGGGTTATGTAGACATATAGCTCAATTAACTTACCCTTAATACGGGGGCTTTATGTGTACACTTACATTACATGCGCAGGAATAAAATTTTACCTTAAGCAGCCTAAACTGAGCATAATATTAAGCTTTTGGCTTAAATAAACCAATGTTTGAATGTATCCCTGCTGAAAAAAAACATAGAAACCATTGTGTGTCTCTTGGTTTCTGACATTTTTGTATTGTGTTTTGGCTTATGGTTTAACCGGTTACCAGGGGTTGATTCATATATTGGTAACGATCTCCCTTCCTGAATGGTAATGTTCATAGCGGCACATACAACCAGCACGAACAGTCACTGATTACATCAAAGACGTCACAAATGGGGAGACCGGCAACTGGTTGAAATATGAATGGGAACGCTCACATGGCATGTCCAACTGCACATGCGTTCCACTGGCCTGAAACCACTGGAGTGAAACTGCGGGTGTAAATCTGCAGATCCTTCTCCTTGGACCTGCCTTGGTTAGTGTGAATATGTAGATCACTTTTAGTTTGGTTTTGACATGCAGCCACTCTACCTATATTCAGGCAGCACCAAACAGCTGAACCGTGCTAATTCATTAGGGAATTCAACACCAGAGCATATTTTCCACTGCACATTTTCTTTGTACCCTCATGCACAACCTTCTGCTTTAACATTTCATGATCTAAATATTCAATGATCTGGTATGTAATATTGCTATTCATTCGTGTTCTCCATTATCTCACTTTTGAAGTTCTGCACTGTTACCCACATTATATGAAACTGCTATCTGATGTTAAAATGTGTTAGATATCAAACATTTGTCCACTATAATAATTTATCAGTTTTTCTAATTACTGACTAAATTACAGCTTAGTACATATGTGTATTTAACCCTGTTGTACGTAAGCCTAAAAGTCACTGACTATGCTTATATTTATATTTTTGACTGTAATTTGGTGATGGTTTTTCATTGTTATCAACTAAGTTATATGCACAGATTCAGCACAAACACAGCTTTAATAACAATAAGCCACTTTATGAACTTGATGGATTATTATTATAATTAATATATAACATAATTAATATATGCCCTAAGCAATGTAAATAAGTTTTTTTTTATTTTGTTTATGCTGTTACTAGTGATGTGTTCCTATCTAGCTGTACAGAGCCACATCGCACTCCAGACATCTTTAATATTGCCCCTGAGAATCATTTGTAATTTTTCACAACCCAAATTGATGAATATCCAGTTTTTTTAAAGTCTGAAGTCAAAAATGTTTTGACGTAGTTGAAAATGGCATTAAAATGAGTGTTTAATACTTAATATATTTACCTTTTGATTGACAACCTATAGCAAACCTAATGGTCCAGTTCTTAGCTCAATTATACATCAACTCAAATGCTGATCCTAGAGGATTTAATCTGAATTAATCTTGGCTAACCAATGCATCTGATCACTTGAAGGAAGTATGTAGGATTCTCTCTGTACTGCAGCTAATTACAAAACCAACACAACCAAACTTGCATAACCCCACCAAGTCAACCTTAATTGATGAAATTTTATCCAACAGATTTGGCTAAATGACTTCTATAGGTGTATTTGACCCTGGTTTTAGTGCCCACTGCACTACTGGATGTATTAGAAATATAATCATAGTAAAGTCAGGCTCTCAGATGGTGATTAGAAGAAATTCTAAATGTTGTAAATTCTAAACACTACACTTATGAAATCCCAGATATCGACTTAGAGTTAGACCATTTAAGCAAAACTTCCTGGTGGTGATAAACAAGCATCGCCCGTATAAAAATGTTAGACTCTCAGATGGATCAAATTCCTGGTTCTGAGTTTAGTTTGTTTTAGTTGTTGTGTCACATTTACCATTCTTTCTATTTATTCATTATCAACTTTTACTTTTCTGTTACTGTTTAGTTATTTTACATTCTCCATTCTTTTATTTACATTATTTCCCTTTATTTTTTTATCTTTATTTGATTTGTCATTTATTACTATTATATTTTATTGTTATTTTATCTTTGTAATTTTATCAGTTTACTCTGATTTGATTGCTTTTTTACTCTTAAATTTTACTATTTGATTATTATTAGAGATTTATTTTTTATATATATATTTTTCCATTTGATTTTTTTATCTTTTTACTTTCTCTCATTTCTTCAATCTTTATTTTCTCTATAGGCCTTGCTTTATTGTCAGTGTATTCTGAGTTGAAATAAAGGCTGATCGATTGATTGATTATGGTCCAGGTTGAAAATAGCTTGGCAACCCACTAACCCAACCATACATGTACGAGCTTAAAAAGAATTCTGATTCTGAACATCAACAATGAACACAAATAATGTGAAAATATATTTGGTCAGACCCATTATTGACTGAATGGAACCAGTGCCGTTGGGCTGAGCCATCAAGATCATCTTTATATTAGTGAACCAATCCAAGCCTACATCAAAATAGCTTTAACTCTGGAGCTCTCACTCACCCTCTATACACATATTCTGTCTCTCCATTCCTGTATTTAACTCTTTTAAACTGATATTTTATTGTGTTTAGTTATTTAATTGGACCTGTTTAAGCCTGTTTGTCTCAGTTAAGCTTCTCTGTTTGATGTAGTGTGTTTATGCAGATGTGTTGACATCTTGGCATGTTTGGTTCATCTCTGGTTCTATTTGGGTCCATCATCATTCAGTGGTCAGTTATGCTGCAGGAAAAGCTCCTAACAGCAGAAACCAGATGAGAGGGAAAAGTGCTTTAGTCTTAGTAGCTGTACTTTGTCCATTGCACAGGGATTATAAACAATCTAACACTGCCCTCATGTGGATGGATCTGTGCTAACAATACAGTTTAAGGTAGTGTTTCCCAACCTTTTTTGTGCTTTTCCTGCTTTAATGCTGCCACTTTATCTCAGAAATATGTTGTTAATGAGCTGATTAATTGGATCAGGTGTGTTAGGAAAGAGAAAACACTAAAAAATGCAGATCAGTGGGCCAGAGTTGAGAAACACCGGTCTAAGGTAGATAGATGTGAGTTCAGCCATAGAACTTTCTTGTTTTTTTGTTATTGTGATAATGACTGGTGTCTACCAAACAATTGTTCATGTGTTAAGGGTAATGAAACCCATTCTTTTCATGCAAATGGTTTGACTGGATAAAAAAGGCTGTAGAAACTGAATAAGAAACACTAAAATGAGAAAGTGTACAGGAACAGAATTAATTTGTTCCTGTACAGGCAGCCAAAAACCTGGACAGAGCCCTACACCTTCTCAAACATAAACACCACTGTTATAACACTTTAGAGCTCAGCCTGTGTCCTCACACATATTCCTCACAAATTGTATGTAGTTTTAAATCTGATTGAAATCAGACTTCTAGACAAGTGACTCAGTTCGACTGATCAGATCAGGTTTCATCATTCAGCAGCTTTGATCATCAGCATGTGACATCAAACTCAGTGGTGCACATTGACATATTCTAGCTTAAATGCAGAGAATTTAAGCTTTTAACAAACATTTATGTCACATTAATTAGTATGTATTATATAGTTTTACAGTCACTGCTTCAGTGAAGAGTTCAGTTTACACTGTCTTCATGTCCTTCAGAGGTAATAAGTATGTGATATGTGTTCAAGTGGTTTAAGTCAGAAACAATATGGAGGAACTGGGAATAATGGTTTTTGTTTACTTCTGGTTTCTAATACATTTCAGACGATCTAAATACTTTGAAAATACTGTTGAGCCCAACCTGGCCCTATGTGAATAAGTATTCGCCTTCTTAGCTACTAAACCAACCAGTTAACCAAATTCAGTTGAGTGTTAAGTTCAATTTCACTGCCACACCCAGGCATGATCACTGCCAGACCTCTTGAATCTAAACATCACTTAAAAAGATTCTGTCTGGCAGTGTGAAGCAGCTAGAAGGTCTCAAAAAAGCAGCACATGATGCCACGATCTAAAGAGATTCAAATACAGATGAGAAACAAAGTCACTGAAATCTCCCATCTGGAAAGAGTAACAAAGGCATTGCTAAGGCTCTGAGACTCCAGAGAACCACAGTGAGAGCCTTTATCCACAAATACAAAAAACTTGGAACCGTGGTTAACCTTCGCACAAGTGGCTGCCCGTCCAAAATTTCACCAAGAGTGCAGTGACGAATCATCCAGGAGGTCATAAAAGAACCCAGATGAACATCTAAAGAGCTGCAGGCCTCACTTGCCTCAGTTAAGGTCAATGTACATGATTCCACAATAAGAAAGACACTGGACAAAAATGGCAACCATGGGAGAGCTGCAAGGTGCAAACCATTGCTGACCAAAAAGAATGCAAAGGCTCATCTCGCATTTGCCAAAAATATCTAGATGATGCCCAAAACATTTGGGATAATGTTCTGTAGACTGACGAGTCAAAGGTTGGATAACACGGGTTCCATACATCTGGCATAAACCTAACACTGCGTTCCACCATAAGAACATCACACCAACAGTCAAACATGGTGCTGGTAGTGTGATGGTCTGGGGCTGCTTTGCTTCTGCAGGACCTGGACGACATTGTTATGATTCATGTAACCATGAATTCTGCTCTCTATCAGAAAATTCGGAAGGAGAATGTCTGCCCATCAGTTTGTGACCTAAAGCTTAACAATGATCCAAAATACACAAGCAAATCCACCTCTGAATGGCTCAAAAGAAAGAAAATTAAGGTTTGGTAGTAGCAGAGTCAAAGTCCTGACTTGAATCGCATTGAGAAGCTGTGGCAAGACCTTAAACGGTCAGTTCATGCTCAAAAACCCTCCAGTGTAGCCCAATTAAAACCATTCTGCAAAGAAGAGTCAGCCAAAATTTCTCCACAATGATGTATTCACCAATCCAAGAAATAAGAATTCTGGCTCCTCTGAGTCTGGAACTAGAACCATAAACCTTTTGCAGGAACACTCACAAATCCTGAAATAAGCTGAATTTACAGCTTAGTCAAGGACGAGAACACCTCCCTCTACCAAGGAAGCAATAAAACACCTCACCTGGAATCCAGAAAGACTGTCCAAGCTCCATCCTCGAGCAGCCTTAAGACACCTCTGCCCAGTCGCTGACTGAGGCCGTGTTTGCCCATACTGCGTCAGAGTCACCACCACCAGCGCGGCAAGACCCAGCATGTGACCTTCTCTTGATCCGGTCGGTCCTGAGACGACCCCCCCCCCATTGGAGGGCTTGAAGTCAGCTCCCTCAACTCCAGCGTAAGGCTGATTCAATTTCATGTATGCATTCTGGGTTCCAATGCTAACTTATTTAATAAGAAAACCGTTTATATATATCCACCCTTATAGCTATACATGTCTGTACTTTACACTGGTAATGATCTGGATGGTCCATTACCTTTTTGGCCCAGAAAACAAAATGTCACGACTGGACTTGTTACACAGGTGGCATCCTATCATGGTACCATGCTGGAGTTCACTGAGCTCCTGAGAGTGCCCCATTCTTTCCCTAATGTCTGTAGAAGCAGTCTGCAGGCCTAGGTGCTTGGTTTTATACACCTGTGGCCATGGAAGTGATTGGAACACCTGAATTCGATGATTTGGATGGGTAAGTGAATACTTTTGGAAATGTAGTGTATATCTGCATGGTTTTATAACTGA